AACACAGACAAGGAACCACACACACTCACAATGAACCATACGCATAAACATATAACACGTGTATAAGGAACCATTATCATTACAATAATGTATACAATGCCGACAGGATGATGAACTAAGACATTCACGAAACAGGCGCCGCCAGAATTTTTGTGCTGGGGGCTTGGGAAAGGGGTGGCAATGTGATTGAAAGGGGGAACTAAGAGACTTGTTTTGAAGCAGTGTTATTATTATTGATGCTATCGTTGTTGCAAAGTGTCTAATTCATAACCAGGAACCATACACACACAAAGAATCATACAAATATATAAGGAACCACAAAGAATCATGCATTCAAGGAACCATATGCACACAAAAAATCATATCCAAGCATAGAAGAAATAAACACAAACATAAGACAAATAAACAAAAATACGACAGAAATACATACAGGGAACCAAATAAACGTGAAAGAAACCTTCAAGACAACAGACATAGCAGACATATACATGGCGTGATCCTTGCACAACTGGCTGGGAGGACCATTGCATGTCTTGAATAACCCATATGGGTTTAGCACTTTTTATGAATATAGAAATTGTTAATTACATGTCAACTTTCCCTTGAGGGGAATGATGCTCTTCATCTAGTGCTTGTGGGGGGGGGCAGGGGCTCTAGAAATGAAGAATTAGAGCTAACCCCACTTTGGAAATATAAACACTTTCCTTCGTCAAACATAATCCTCTCCTATACCTCATGCTTTGTACGGCTCTTGCGAGCTTAGCGCTTCCCTGTGGATATACAGTACTAATATGAGAGGAAGTTTTAAGTGTAACAGTATTGCGACAGCTTAATAAACAGATATATTTGCAAGCTATGATTATTTATTTAAGCTACATTTCTTGAGTTTTATCAAACTTTTAAAGTAGCTCTGATAAAACTCCCGTTGAGAGAAGCGTAGCCTAATAAATATACAAACGTTTTAAATGCCCATGTTCCAAAAAAAAATTGAGAAAGCACATAGCCACAACACTGATGTTTTACTCCACTATTTCCTCTAGTCCACAACGCTGGTAGCCACCAGACTCTGGGGAATGCGTTACTTAACATCTCTCCTTAACAACAAAGCTGGTGACCCAGAGGCAAGAGTTCCATGACCTCCTTCCTGGAGTGATGGTTGTGCTCTGTATGCCTTATTATAATCATAACCAAGCGCTAAACCCGTAAGGGTCATACAGCGCTGCTCTGTATGCCTCAACACTTCTGCACCCACACCAAGATGCGTTTTGGAGTCTTTCGAAGATTATATCTTGATCCAAAGAACTAAAGTTACCCTCCTATTTCCTTGGATTCAATCATAATGCTTCTCATTCTCCAGATGTAATAATGATACCCCCTAGAATGGTTTGGGACAAGGCCATAATAAAACCATTACTGTAATCTCTTACTGTCTGTACATTCACTCTTCTTACACAGGATTCTACAAGGTTAGGTTAAGGTTCTTAACTTTAGTTACAAGCTAAGAGCTGTTACCTACAACAATTCATTTGAAAGCCTCGTTATTATTAAGTGATATATAGATAGGGAACAGGATGAAGTTGGAGCCATCTGTGGTCCAGCGATTTCATTTGGTCAACTGATTTTATTTCATTGATGTTATTATTCTCTTTTTTTTACAAGCTGAGGTTAAAGTTCTTAACTTCATTTACAAGCTAAGAGCTGTTACCTACATCAGCCCATTCGAAAAAAATTTATATTATGAGACATACAAATATGAAACAAAATGAAGTTGGAGCCATCTGTGTGCCAGCAATTTCATTGGATCAACTGACTGTTTCATTGTATTATGTTGTACGAACATGTTCCAGCCTTGAATCATCCTGGGAATAATTGATCTCATATGAAGTGATGTTCTAGAGAAGAGTACAGTCAGAGGGAAGTTGCTGCTTGCTGTCTGTCTTGTGTAGAAACTCGCTTCTCACTGTCCTCGGAGCGGAGCCATGTGTGGTACTTTGACAATATTGGCCTTGTACATAACAGTAAGTCCACTCACATTCCTCCAGTGTTGAAGACTATTAAAATGACTGATCTATCCAGGCTGGGTCCTGGTGAGGGATGAGGCATCTTGCTCTGTTCTTTACTGTCAAGAAGTCACAGAGAAGGGGATGCAGGCAGTTCAAGAAAATGGAGCATATTCAAGGTGTGAGTATACATGTGGCTCGTACAGAATCTTACAACCTCTACTGTCGAGCAGATGCGAGATACGTCAAAGTGCTGCATGCTTCCTGGCTGCCTTGTTTGCAAGATCTACAACGTGGCTCTTCATGGTCAGCTTGGAGTCAGATTTCACCCCAGGGATATCACCTTTTCTCTCTCTCTCTCTCTCTCTCATCTGACAACAAATGAGTTGAATGGTAAGAAGTAAGACATAACTTAAGCACTTGCAGCAGTAGTTCAAAACAACACCTCCAGTGTTTGTGTGACACCATTGTTAGGTACTGCCATGACCTAGTGATGCTGTAGTACATCCCATTCCCACCTCATGTACGATTATACATACAGAATATACAGTATACTTTTTTGTAAATTTAAAAATGTGAGAATAAAGTCTTGTAGGGAAGGAGAAATGGGTAGAATAAGAGAATCGGTAAGTGTAGATGTACAAAGAGGAAAATGGGATTAAGAGAAAGATGGAGGGGAAAGTAGAAAAAAACAAGAAAATTAAAGGAAGGGAAAAAAGAAAGATAAAATGAAGGGAGGAGGAAAAGTAAAGTCAAATTCAAAGCAAATCATACTTCTACAAAGTGCAGGGTATCTCTTTGTACACTCTTTAGAAAATCGCCTCGTGCACAGCATATATGGCATTGAAGATAAAGGCCAAAAAAAAAAAAAAAAAAAAAAGAGGAAGAGGTCATTGAGGTCCATGACAGCATTGTGTAGCATATCGTTGTGTGTGTATATACTCAGACTGTTGTGTGTGTGCTCATCTATTTGTAGTTGCAGGTATCAATTATCAGATCTTTGCCCTGCTTTTAAGTGTGGGGGGAACAGGATTCCAATTTATTGGATGAAGAGCTCTCACCAACATCAAGGAGCCTCCTTTGAAGGGTTTATTTGAAAATTTGACCAGACGAAGCATTCTTAAGTTATAAACGAAAACCTTGGAGAAAGAAGTTTTCTCAATCCTTTGAAGGTACTCCTTCAGGGATGTTTCCTTCATTGGATCAAACCTGATTACCTCCCATTTTCCAGGTGCTGTGTGGCATTTGGGTTTAGTGCATTCTTGAGAAGATATGACCATTGAAAAACCATAACCTGCTGAAAAGGCTTCAGTCTTTACTGAATGGTGCAGCTAGAACAATATTTGCACTCCCACCTGGGGTTTCCATCAGTCCCTGTCTGTATTAGTTGCATTAGTTTTATTATCAAGGAAGGAATTGAATTTGCAGTTTATTAACATGTAAAGCTGGAAGTTTTAAGACACAGATGAGCCACAGGGATGTCAGGGAGTATTTTACTGGTATCAGATTATTATTATTATTATTATGGGAAAGCTAAACCCGTAGGGATTATACAGTGCCTGTGGGGGATAGGATGGAAGGCATTCAGACTTAATTCATGGAATTGGGACACAGATCCAATTCCTTAGATTGACAGCCCCTCACCAGCATCAAGGAACCTCCCTTGAGAGGTTCAATATCAGAGTGATTGAGAAGTGGAATGATATTAGTGAGGAACTGTTGGAGGCAGGCTCCATACATAGTTTTAAGAGCAGATACAATAGGGCCCATGAGGCTAAGAGGGAGTGAATCTGAATGGTGGCAAGCCAATCAAATGTGATTGCCAGGTTTAACGCTTCTTGGTGTTAGTGTCCTGTAACCAGGGAAAGGTTCATGCTACTATTGGCATGGTCAAGTGCCCGCTGTTCAATGTTATTTAAGTAGGTAAGTTTATTTAGGCACAGGTACACATAAGTACAACAATTATCATAGTACGCTTGCTCTCCCTCAGTGGGCACCTAGCTCTCTTGCAGTGCTCCCCTTCCTTTGTATTTGACTGGCTCGTCCTTATTTCCCACTTCTACCACTACTACTACCTCTTCTACTACTACTACCACTACAACTACTGATGAAATTAAAGACACATGTGCGACGTCTGGCTGTCTTTGTTGTGGACGTTTCGCCATCCAGTGGCTGGCTGGATGGCGAAACGTCTGCAATAGGGATGCCCGGGTGTTGCGCGTGTCTTAATTTCATCTTGTCGGTATTATATACCATTCTTGTACTACTACTACCACCACCTCTTCCTGCCTATACAGTGGACCCCGGTTAACGAACTTTTTTCATTCCAGTAGTATGTTCAGGTACCAGTACTGACGGAATTTTTTCCCATAAGGAATATTGTGAAGTAGATTAGTCCATTTCAGACTCCCAAACATACACGTACAAACGCACTTACATAAATACACTTACATAACTGGTCGCATTTGGAGGTGATCGTTAAGCGGGGGTCCACTGTATATAGCCGTCCTGCTCCACTTCTGGTTAGTGTGACTTTGTCAATGGTCCAAGTCAGACCGAAACGTCGTCGTAAGCTTCTCTCTTTTATGTGCGAGTTATTTGTGTATCGTTCCAGTCACGGTATTGTGCCTTTTTTTGTTATTTGTGAAATAACCTGGTATAACCACTTAGAAGATGGATGGAATTGTTCTTGGATTAGGTAATTACCAATTTGACAATTTTAGTTCTAATATTGTGCATTTTTTGTGCCAAAAATCTTGAGTGTTCTTCCGAATGATGTCACTCTTTAATAGCCTCTGCGTCTTACGTATAGGATGATACCCTATGTCTTTTAAACTAACATGACCCTGTGACCTCATTCCTCCCTGTCTGTCAGTGCCCTTTCCCTAACACCTCCACTTCTCAACCATCTCTTTTCACTTTTGCTGTGTAGCACTGAATGGCTCTTGTGAGTTTAGCATTTTTCATAAATATAATAAATAATGTTAGGAAAATAATAGCTTTTCATACTGGGTATTCTTTATTAAAGATGCATCACACTAAAAATTCTTGTACAATCTCTGGTATTTTTTAAGCCACTGAAACCAAGCCACCATAGATGGATATACAGAACCAGTGAAAACTTTTAACTCATTTCTAGTGTCTTTGACTGTATATAAGTATGCTTACATAATTATTTCCAAACAGAAGGCCCCTGATTTAGGAATGCCTGAGATACAATGAACCATTAATAAACAAGATCCAAAAATATAATGCTGAGAAAATAATTTTTTATGAATTATGATTTTTAGTTACAAATGTGTATGAGACATAACCATACTTTTGTCATTTGCTACAGGACAATCAATTCAGGGTTACAACCACATCATTAGTAAGTTGAAACTCAGGAACACAGCTCATCTGTAAGCTGGGAACCTCCTGTAATGAAATATTACCTCTAATTTTATATACATACTCTAGCACTGTTAATCCTAACCTTTATTTCTACTGACAGAATAGTAAAAAAAAAAAAAAAAAGCAGTAAAAAATTAGTTTAAACCTACAACACAACCTTTGGATACATGCAGTGTTCATCATAGGGAATATTACAGCTTATTTGCTGCTCTATTTTGACTTCACAGTGAGCTTATTTAAATAGCAGTTAATCTTTTTCAAATGTTAAAATGCTATTACATGATATTCAATTACATTTTCGAAAGCTTAAACATTTCTAAAAATAAAAGTCGGTAAAATTTTAAAAAATCATGACTGCTGCTGCACATTCTTGTGGATATATGGCCACTGCTGTATATTTTGAAATGCAATTGATTCAGAAATTTCAAGCAATTTATATAGTTATTACCCAGTAAGAATATATTTTTAAAGTATACAAACATTTCATTCCTTCACTCAGGTTACCAATATCAGTATATGTTTAATATACCAAATGATTGTTGGCATAATGACATCCACACTATGACATCAAGATGTGTACAGCAGATTACTTGAATGAAACTCCCTGACTGCCATGAATTTAAGTACAAAGAGCTCCCTAAGAACAACAACTGCAAGATAACAGTTGATACCAGCAATTAAATTATGATTTAATGCTGTATATCATAATTTTATTATTACTGTATAATCATAGTTTGGAAACCACAATGAAGCTATAAATTTATTGCTAATAATGTCTTGGGATACTTAACACAGTTAGAAGGCACAAAAAAGATCATATACTGTATATAATAAATATTGTACAGTACATGAGATGTACTGCATATAAACTAAGCATATGAACAGGGTCTTTTAAAGTTAAACATTTTAAGGTAACATTTCCATTAATAATCATTTATTTGAATAAATAGATAAAGCTGCAAAGGGTATTGAGATTTTTAGTGACTAATTATTTGAGTAGCTATTCGTATTTGAGCAATTATTAAAGATATTCCCCATCATGTGACTGGGTGAGTTATAGTCAAGGAATCTCCAGAGCAAATGGAGAAATGTTAGAGGAAAAAAAGCCAGCGCTAAGTAAAAACTTAGTATGTGGAAAATTTAGAGTGGCTATATTTTAATATTTCAGGCACTTGTGCATACCCAGCGAGTGTGTTGATACAACTGCATGTTAACTCATCCAGCCCTTCAAGGGGAGGCGCAGGGTCTTGATAATGAAGGGCTCTTGATCTAAGGATTTTGAAGTACATCTTTATCTTCCTTGGATGAAATCTGATTGCCTTCCATTCCCCAGGCACTCTATGACCCCTATAGTTTTAGCACCTCCCTACAAATATATTAACCTATCTAGCCAAGGATTACTAGTTTAGCTAGTTTTTATTTCTAGACCAACTACTGTATTTGTAAAAAAAAAAAATTCTTGAATAATTCCTTGATAATGTGTTTTAAATGCAGTGGAAACCTCATGGTTTATCAACCTGTGACTTTCATGTAGCCATAGGTGAGAGAGACGTCATGAAATGTTTTATGCATGTACATTTCATGCAACAGAAATATTACCATTCCAAACTGGCTTTCTTATTGCAAAAAAGTATTACAAAATGTTTTGTGACTGACCACAATCATCATTCCTGTAAAGTGACATCACAACCAAAATACTGAAACATCTTTATATCATACTCAGTATTTTCCCAACAGATAATCAGTGTGTGGAATGTGTGTAAATTTACATATAAAATTTCCTTTTACTAGTTTTGCTAAAAAACTTAGTAAGCAAACCTAAGCACATGAGCATTTGTGCAACCTAAAGCAATAATGTGAGCACTGCAACATCACGTGTAAAAATCATCGACTTTTCATCCAAAACACAGGAAAATGCAGACTGCCAGGTATCAACACAACTTTCAAGCAATACAGTACATATACCCAATATACCCAAGCTGCATGACAATCTGACAACTAAATGGTATCTGTTACTAATGACCAATGTAAAAATAGTAATATAAATAATAATAAAATCAAGATCTTCCTACTTTATCTTATGAACAGCTGTACTACTATTACAGACATTTTTCATATTTGTTGTTACTAACTTTTATGAATCAATATTTTTAACAAAAATATACAATTTCAAGAAAGCATTCAAACTATGCATGCTTCACTCTTGTCAATGCTACATAGCTTTTCCTAGTATTGTTGTCATGCCAACCCACAGGTCCTCGTTCACAGTCTGCACATACCAGGTATTTTGTGCTGCCAACCGAGTGTGAGAATCCAATGTTGTCAAATGTGAACATGTCGTCTACTACCCACCACTCGCTGAGCTATGGGGAAAGAATCAAATGAATATTTCTGAACAGCTTTCCTTGAAATATACTATTTTTCCCAATAATGAAAGTTAAATCTCTTAATAAAAGTTGTGATTAATATCAGATGGAATTAAAGAGCATATGATAGAGGAATTACAAGCAAATACAGCCTCTCCTCACTTAGTGACTTATTTGTTTACCGACGACTCGGGCTTGTGACAGACTCTCTGACCAGCATGCATACCAAAATAATGTATATCAGAGCTGATTTATTCTATTCTGTTTATTACAATATACAGTGGTACCTTGACTTACGAGTTTAATTCATTCTGTGACCGAGCTCGTAACTCAGTTTGCTCGTACAGTACATCGGATCAATTTTCCTCATTGAAATTAATTGAAATGCCATTAATCCGTTCCAGCCTCCAAAAAACCACCCCAATTTTTTTGGTTACGAATTTTTAAATAAGTAAAATGTATTTACGAATAATTATTTATAAATAAAGAAATACTATTGTATAAAAACATAATAAAAGAGAATGTAAAGAAATAAACTGGTTTTATAAAGTGTATTTACCTAGGAGATCAGATGACTTGGACTAACAGAAGATGCTGGCAGAGGTAGAAGGTCAGACTATGAGTCGACTACACTCACACCTCACTCGTGTTTTTCTATGATTTCATGCTTTAATTCAATGGACATCATCCTCTTCTTCTTCTCAGCACTGTCCTTTGCACTTACTTTCTTAGGATCCATAGTTAGAAAAAAGAAATTTGGCAAAATAACTTGAGTGGTGTTAGTGGGGACTGCCCCGGACTCACTATGACTGGGTGCCAGCCGCATATATACAAAACTTGGAAGGCCTCCATAAACACATCTACCTGCAGCATAGGCGCCATGCTTCATGTTAACTTAAAAATGAATACGTGTCAATGCATGGAATAATTAGAGGCATATGGTGTGGGAAGCAATGTGGCATTGAGAGTAACGAGGTTGGGACTAGTCAGTGCCTCTTCCCCCATGCCATGGGGGAGAGGGAAGAGGCAGGATGTGTAGGTGAAGATGATGGGAACATACTGCTTTTAAGGAGTCACATACCCACATCTTTCATGATGTGCATGGGAAACAAACAAATATTGTTTATTGTAAACAGGACAGTGTGAACAACAGTGTGCAATCCATGTGTAGGGAAGTGCCCTCACCCCTCTCCATGGGCTTGCCCCGTGTGTAGTGTTACCTTCCCGGTAATATTATTGATAAAGTAACAGAAGGACCCCACTGGAAAAAAGTAATTCTGTCTGACTTATTTGGGTTATCCTAGGCTCTCTATACATACACTGCTGTGTATGATAATCTATGTAACTGTATTTGAGTATGCCTGAATAAACTTACTTCAGTTCTGTTGACTAAGTACAATAAACTGCCCATTCACCTATTTCTACCCAATAAACTGGTTAAAAATTGGCAATTTGGCCAATTTCACAAAAATTTCAAAAGATACCAGTTTCAAAATAGGGTTCAGAATAAACAATGCAGACATTCCTGGCACTAAAATAACATATTCCCTGTTCATTAGTCATGTCTCCAGGCCCATCTTATATTACTCTTACTTTCCATTTTTAATTTTTATTCACAAAAAAATTGAAAATTTACTGTTATACAGACTGCTGCATTACTGTAATAATTGTATAAATAATGTCAACCCATTCGTGACTGTGTATTAGATTGGCCAGTTGGACACGTATTGGATGGTGACGTCATTTGTTTACTCTTGAACACGGCAAACATCGAACATGTCTGCTAATTTGAGCTCAATTTCAAGGTCCTTTTTGTTGTGAAACCACTCAAAATCATATCTATTTCTGTAATATATCTCAGCCATTAGCTACTAAGGGGCGGCTAATGGCTGAGAAGTGAACTCCGTTATTTATCATCCGATTTCTTTCATTTTTGGTGTATGTTGAGAAGCATCTTTCCATCATACATTTCCCAAGTTTCAATAAGATAGGTCAAAAACAACTGAGAAAGAAATTTTTTTTTTTTTTTTTTTTTTTTTTCAACAAGTCGGCCGTCTCCCACCGAGGCAGGGTGACCCAAAAAAGAAAGAAAATCCCCAAAAAGAAAATACTTTCATCATCATTCAACAGTTTCACCACACTCGCACATTATCACTGTTTTTGCAGAGGTGCTCAGAATACAACAGTCTAGAAGCATAAACATATAAAGATACACAACATATCCCTCCAAACTGCCAATATCCCAAACCCCTCCTTTAAAGTGCAGGCATTGTACTTCCCATTTCCAGGACTCAAGTCCGACATATGAAAATAACCGGGTTTCCCTGAATCCCTTCACTAAATATTACCCTGCTCACACTCCAACAGATCATCAGGTCCCAAGTACCATTCGTCTCCATTCACTCCTATCAAACACGCTCACGCACGCTTGCTGGAAGTCCAAGCCCCTTACCCACAAAACCTCCTTTACCCCTCTCTCCAACCCTTTCGAGGACGACCCCTACCCCGCCTGCCTTCCCCTATAGATTTATATGCTTTCCATGTCATTCTACTGTGATCCATTCTCTCAAAATGACCAAACCACCTCAACAACCCCTCTTCTGCCCTCTGACTAATACTTTTATTAACTCCACACCTTTTCTCCTAATTTCCACACTCCGATTTTCTGCATAATATTTTACACCACACATTCCCCTTAAACAGGACATCCCCGCTGCCTCCAACCGTCTCCTCGCTGCTGCATTTACCACCCAAGCTTCACACCCATATAAGAGTGTTGGTACTACTATACTTTCATACATTCCCTTCTTTGCCTCCATAGATAACGTTTTTTGACTCCACATATACCTCAACGCACCACTCACCTTTTTTCCCCTCATCAATTCTATGATTAACCTCATCCTTCATAAATCCATCCGCCGACACGTCAACTCCCAAGTATCTGAAAACATTCACTTCTTCCATACTCCTCCTCCCCAATTTGATATCCAATTTTTCTTTATCTAAATCATTTGACACCCTCATCACCTTACTCTTTTCTATGTTCACTTTCAACTTTCTACCTTTACACACATTCCCAAACTCATCCACTAACCTTTGCAATTTTTCTTTAGAATCTCCCATAAGCACAGTATCATCAGCAAAAAGTAACTGTGTCAATTCCCATTTTGAATTTGATTCCCCATAATTTAATCCCACCCTCTCCCAAACACCCTAGCATTTACTTCCTTTACAACCCCATCTATAAATATATTAAACAACCATGGTGACATTACACATCCCTGTCTAAGACCTACTTTTACCGGGAAGTAGTCTCCCTCTCTTCTACACACCCTAACCTGAGCCTCACTATCCTCATAAAAACTCTTTACAGCATTTAATAACTTACCACCTATTCCATATACTTGCAACATCTGCCACATTGCTCCTCTATCCACTCTATCATATGCCTTTTCTAAATCCATAAATGCAATAAAAACTTCCCTATCTTTATCTAATACTGTTCACATATATCTTCAATGTAAACACCTGATCTACACATCCCCTACCCACTCTAAAACCTCCTTGCTCATCCGCAATCCTAAAATTCTGTCTTACCCCTAATTCTTTCAATTAAACCCTACCCTACACTTTCCTGTAAAACTCAGTAAGCTTATTCCTCTATAATTTTTACAGTCTCTTTTGTCCCCTTTCCCTTTTTATAAAGGGACTATACATGCTCTCTGCCAATCCCTAGGTACCTTCCCTCTTTCATACATTTATTAAACAAAAGTACCAACCACTCCAACACTATATCCCCCCCTGCTTTTAACATTTCTATCATGATCCATCAGTTCCAGCTGCTTTACCCCCTTTCATTTTACGTAATGCCTCACGTACCTCCCCCACACTTACATTCTGCTCTTCTTCACTCCTAAAAGATGGTATACCTCCCCGACCAGTGCATGAAATTACTGCCTCTGTTTCTTCCTTAACATTTAAAAGTTCCTCAAAATATTCTCGCCATCTACCCAATACCTCCATCTCCCCATCTACTAACTCCCCTACTCTGTTTTTAACTGACAAATCCATATTTTCCCTAGGCTTTCTTAACTTGTTTAACTCACTCCAAAATTTTTTCTTATTTTCATTAAAATTTCTTGACAGTGCCTCTCCCACTCTATCATCTGCTCTCCTTTTGCACTCTCTCACCACTCCCTTTACCTTTCTTTTACTCTCCATATACTCTGCTCTTCTTATAACACTTCTGCTTTGTAAAAACCTCTCATAAGCTACCTTTTTCTCTTTTATCACACCCTTTACTTCATCATTCCACCAATCACTCCTCTTTCCTCCTGCCCCCACCCTCCTATAACCACAAACTTCTGCCCCACATTCTAATACTGCATTTTTAAAACTATTCCAACCCTCTTCAACCCCCCCCACTACTCATCTTTGCACTAGCCCACCTTTCTGCCAATAGTCGCTTATATTTACCAAAAATAATATATGGTAAGCCCAAGCCATGTACTGGAAATAAGTCACTTTGACTTTTTTGGGTTATCCTAGGTTCTCTACATATATGCTGCTATGTATGATAATCTGTGTAACTGTATTTGTGTATACCTGAATAATCTTACTTATGATGCTGGGCTGATATTGTGGCATTCGCTGCGCCAACTAGTGGCGGTGTATCTGAAGCCTGTTCATAACTTGGATTTTGGCTCACAACTCAAAGCAAAAAATCGATCGAGTGACGGTTTGTAACTTGGAAAACTCATACGTTGGCACTCGTAAGTCAAGATGCCACTGTACAGTGCACTACTGCATAAACATTTAAAAAATATAACAGAAATGTTATAAATGGTACAAGGTGACATTAAAACAATATCAAAGATGGTTGACACAAACCCACTAACATTATAGTATGCCCTTCACTTAGTGACGAATTCCTTTACTGAGGAGGCCTTAGGAACGGAACTCTGTCGTTATGTGAGGAGTGGCTGTATTTGTTACAGAGTGCCACTTTTCCCTTTCCTTGGATTAAACCCAGGGGCAGTATGACACATTCAAGCTCAGTGCTTCCCTTTAAATATAATACAATGCAGTTAATAAGTATCTAGTAAAAATATGCATACAAATCTTTTAGAAATAGTGCTCACATCCTCTGTAAGTGTAGAAAGCTGATTTTTTGGTTGTGTTGGCATTGGCAGCGGATAAGATTTTTTGAGGAGGGTAGCAGACTGTGGGGAGAGGACTCGAGACTCACAATGTGTACACACCACAATATGGCTGTTCTGCCCTTCACTCACTAAACTACTCACATCTGCCATACTGCAAACTGAAAAAAAAAAATTACAGCTTGTCACATATTTCAATAATCCTTTTTGCTGTTAGGTAAGACACATATGCAACAGTTAGTTATCTTTATTTCGAAACATTTCGCCTACACAGTAGGCTTCTTCAGTCGAGTACAGAAAAGTTGGTAGCAGTACTGCATGTGCTTTATTAAACAATTTCTTATCCTCTGATCTATAATTGTAGAAATACTGTACTAAAATACAACAAAGTATGTATCATCAAAGTAGGGCATCTAAAAAAGTGGAGGCATATATCAATAACTTCAAAAGGAGAGAAACAATGAAACAAACTCATGGATGATAGAAGATACTCTTGTATATCATTATAGTTTCTCTTAAAGATGTGTGTGTGAGTGTGTTTTCCAGTACATTGACTTTATAGTGAGAATTTTTTTTTTTAATAAATCAGCTGTATCCCACTGAGGTAGGGTGACCTAATAAGAAAAAGAAAAGATTTTTTTTTTTCAACAAACTGGCCCTATCCTACCGAGGCAGGGTGACCTAATAAAAAAAATGAAAGTTTTTCTTTTTAAATTTAGTACTAATTTATACAGGAGAAGGGGTTACAAGCCCCTTTGTTCCTGGCATTTTAGTCACTTCTTATGACATGCATAGCTTATGGAGGAAGAATGGCGCTTCTTATTAAGCAAAATTAAATAAGAGGGCATCTAAAAAAGTGGAGGCATATATCAGTAACTTCAAAAGGAGGGAAACAATGAAACAAACTCATGGATGATAGTACATACTCTTGCAACATCATCATCAGGAGCAAAATTTTTAACATTTTAGGCACATCCGAAAGTTAAACCTTACCTGTATTTTGTAATACTGTATTATGTTATAGACATGCAGGTACAGTAACTATGATACTGGCAAAATAATTAAAACATAAAATGAAGCCAAAAAATTCAAGAGGACTGTCATACTAGATTATTAAACATTCTGGGATAAAATGGGAAAAAGAGGTAAATATAGAAGCGTGCTTGCTGAGCTATGTAGTATATCAGACATTATTAAAACAATAAATAAAGAGCACTGAAGTGTATAATTTTGGATTTGTTGTTAAATGTGCCAATGAAGCCTTTCTCTAAGGACAACACAAGCTAAAATAATCCACTGATATACTCTGGAGAAATGGTATACACAGGCATTAATTAAAGTACAAATTTTACAACATGCATTTGTTATAGCCGCAAGAAAACAAATAGTTGTTTACATAATCAGACACTGTACTTCAAAATAAGTTCCATGGTTCCATGATCTTCACATGCTGTTTAGTCAATGAATACAGCTGAAGTAAAAACAAAATAACGTATCGTCCTCTAATAATGCCCATATATTATTATTAAAAGTATTAACATTAATGTACCAACATTATTAATTTGATCTAACTACTGATGGTAATGATAAAAGAAAAAAAAGTCACAAATAAATAGTAGAGTCTATTGCATTAAGAAAGTGTCCTTATAGTTTAAAAAGATATTTTCAGCCACCCAATGAACCTCACCTTTTTAGGCTAGGCCTGTATATATCTTGAGCATCAAATATTGGCTTCAAAATTTGTAATTATGAATCTTCCTGTATTCTCTGTAGGAGAGAGGCTATATACATACATTTATGACATTTCTTTTCATGATGATTCAACTTCCATTTTAATATGTATATAAATTATCAACATAACTTTAAATTTTTCTCATTTTCTAGTAATGTAGGTTAATTATACTGGTATAAACAGAAGGGAAACTCTGAATGTGGAATACCAGTAATTTCAAAATAACAAGAAATTGGAATCAATCTTTGAACATTATATCTGTAAAATGTTTGCCATAACAATTTTGTTGACATGAATTTGAATAATTTTCTAAATACTAACTACTTCATTATTAATTATTATTATTGTTACATTTATCAAGGAGCAATAAACTTGTAGGGAACCATATAGTGCCTGGGGAAATGGGAGGCATTCATGTTCAATTCTGGGAAGGGAAGGGCAGGTCCAATTTCTGGCATTAAGAACCCTCTCACTGGCATTAAGAAACCTTCCTGGAGGGGAGAACTACTGCATATTCATTGAGAATCATGCAGATCCTGACTCCCCTGTCACTTGTCATATACATTTTAGTTTTACTGTCCAGTCTTCTCATCCCATTACTTTGTCAGTAATCCTCAACTTGGTAGCCTACAAACACTGTCATATTGCTATGATGAGCAATCTCAAATGGTAGCAAATGAAGCTCAACTGCTCTGCATTATTATTACATATTAGGGAGAAACTCTTAATGCATAGGAGTCATATAGTGCCTAGGGAATGAGAGGCAATCATTTTTTATCCAAGGGAAGAAGATAAATTCCTTGGATCAAGAGCCCCCTCACTGTACTGTACAAACATTCTTCACACATAAGGTAATTTACCTTCAAGAAGTCTGGCATTATACTGCATCTTACTTTCTCATATTAATTATCTAATGTTCCAAATAGTAGCTCATCTGTTATCCAACCTCTTCAGTAGGAAGGGTGCACTGATAACCACATCATTTACTTATGGTCCCTTTATTTTGCACATTTCTTTTTTGCATTATCTCTCTATGTGCAAGATCAAACACCACCACCACCTGATAACTTTGCACGAAGGATAACCAATTGCTGGATAACTGATGATCTCTGCTGTATAATCAGTGTTTCTACTTGAATTTGCATTCATTCTGCTTTAGGAATTTGTCTACATTTTCAATCAATGTTTTCCTTAATTTATATGCAGACTATGAAGAGAGATATACAGAAGTAATACAGTAATAATATAATTATCATCATCATCAATTTCACTAAGCTGAAGGGGGACTGGAATATAAATCAAACTAAGCATAAGCTGCATTTTAGCTAAGTGAATTGCTGACAGTGATGTTTTGCTCCTGAAGTGGAAAGTACTAGTTAAGAATTCCTACGTGGAGCATAACTAAAATATAATATTTGCTTGGCTATGTCAATATTCTAATACAGTATAGGGTAAATCTATACAAAGAAATTATTTAAAAAAAAATTGCTTTATGATTGCAAAACTTTCTTAAACTTGTCATTCTTTTGAAGAGTGTTTTCCTTTGTGGCCATCTCTCTGTCGAGAGACATTATCCCTTCTGTCTCTGCTTCTGTCTCTTCTATGATCATAACATCTCTCTCTCTCCTGTATCCCTTCATCTTGATGTCGTTGTTGTTTACTACCTTGACCTCTGTCAACCGGCGTATCACTATACCTATGTCTTCGGCTGTCAATGAACCTGCTATTATCTCTATACCTTCCTCTAGATGCTGTGTTTCCTGAAGAATGCTTAGAATGTATGACAATAGGTTTCCTCCACAAGCGATCACGACACCCAAATCTAAGCTGCCCGGCCTCTTTCCGACCGCCCCACCCTCCCCCCAGTCTCCTTGGAATCCAGCCCTTCATTCTATGCCCAGCTTCCCAATTAACTATTATTGGATGCCCTTCAATCTCCAGACCATTACATTCTCTGAAAGCATGCAGTGCATCGCGCTCATGCCGAAATTCCACAAAACCGTAGCCTCGACTATGGCCAGTGACAATGTCTCTTATTAAATGAACACTCTGAAGTGCACCAAATCTAGAGAATTTCTCAGACAATTGATCTTCCCTAAAGTTACGAGGCAAACGCCCAACAAATAATGTGTATTCTGGTTTAGACCGAATATCAGGGGGTACATAATGAGCATTCATTGCCCTCCATACTGCTCGGTCATGGGGTTCTGTGTCCGTACCATCTATACTACCAGCAGCAAGAGGGTCATACTCACGAGCAATAGGAGACCAATCACTCATTATGTCACTTCACCTGTTTTATCAATTCATATAAACAAACAAATGATTTTTCTTTGCTTAGTGATAAATATTCTTCAATCTCCTTTGTTCTGATAATGTAACAAGTTGAAGTCTTTGTTTGTTATGGAAGTAGTCTTCATTCCTTTCCTGCATCAACCCCTGTAACAGTGAACATGAAATTTAGGGAATAGCTACAACATTACCAAAAATAATAAAAATAATTAGTCACTCAATCAGTATGCAGCTTCTTACTGCAGCAAGGCAACTTGGACTGAATACTCTCATCATGATTTATTTTTTAATGTGAAACCCCTCTCTGTATGCATTATCCACACTTTTACACTTATTACAGCTTAGCTAGTCAACTCCACATTATTTTCCAGTCACTATCTTTTTACGTGTTCATATCACTAAGATTTTCATTGTTACTCTATATGGTCATCAACTGTAGAACAGCATTCCAGTCAGTATAATTCTGCTAAGAAACAAAATAATACATTAGGGAGCAAAGTAACCAAGCATTTAACTCTTTCCTGTTAAGCAGCAAATGTCATAGTAGTCCTCCCTAGTCTACTATGCTCTCAGGATGAACAAAACATGCACAAAAGCTTGCTCAATATCTTTTTAACTGCATGGCAGAGTTGAAAAAGATATTAGGGGATGGAGAGGGGAAAGAAGTGTTGAGTGAAGGGCATCAACTGAAAGGATGCGAGTCACAGGTTATGGAGCATATCACTGTCAATTAAGAAATCAGATTGTCTGCAGCAGAGGTGGGACCATCAGAGAGAAGGTTGGAAAACTAAACAGAGCAGGGCATTAGAGAAGGCATATGAAATAGAAACTGGCATACCCTGATAAATGGAACAATTGATCAAGAGATGGTGTCCTGTCAGGACATATTAAAGTAACCCAGACAAGAAAATGAATTGACAAGAATTAAAATTTCACAATCAAGAGAGTAGGGATCATTGGTGAGGGCACACAGATAAAGAGAAACAAGAATACTTCTTTTAACAGACATTGTGTTGTAGAACATCAACAGTAAGGATAGGGGTCACAACTTACGTAGCAAATCACTGTCACTTAAGAAATCAAAGTGTCTGCAGCATAGGTGTGACCATTGGTAGTGGATGTACATGCCACTGTAGACAGATGGGAAAAAAGAAATGTCAGTCAAAAGGTGGTGGATGTTAAAATCATAATAGTATCTGATTACCATTCAATTTTTAAAGTTGATGGATGGAATAAGACTTAAGAGCAACAAGAAAAAGTCGAGAGAGACTTAACGTAAGGGGTCCCTAACCTGCACCCCAGGGACTGCATGTAGCCCTTCTAAGAAATGGATGGGTCCCTCACATGAAATTATGAATTCACTTTTATGCAAGTTCCACACTGCATAATGTCAACAATTACAAAATATTTAAAGCTTTTTACACCAAAACTTTATTGTTACCTCTAACACCCACCTTTCACTTCTGATATGCATGATTTATGTAGATATAACTAGCAACTGTAGCCCTCCTTCAAATCTGGCTTTTCAAATTGGCCTTTTCATACTAAAACGTTGGGGACTATTGGACTAAAGTCATATACCTAGAAAGCAAAGGCTTCATTTACATAGCAACATAAGAGAAGACCCAACACCAATAGCTGAAGTAGCATGGATTAAATTGCTCCATATAAATGTTAGCAAATCCAGGAGAAAATTCATTTGCAAAACAAAAACGTGAGATCTTAAAGAGCTTGCAACTTTGCAGGAATGAGGAAAATATTCATTCAGTTATATGCCACGTGTAACTGCCTATTCCATGAAAAAAAATTATAAAAATGAATCTGATAAATTTTCTTGTTGTGAAATTAGGTACTATGGGGGTGTCGAGAGCTGAGGCTCAGTAAAAATAGACGTCAATTCACTAATGTAAACTCAATAGGATAAAACAAGCATTAGGTTATCTTGGTTATGTTTCTTATCATTTGCCACAAAAATAATGCTATCTCCAATGTACAATTTTTTGTAGCACTGTATGACCCATGTGAGTTTAGTGTTTAGTTTCAATTGTTATTGTAATGTAATAATTAATAATAATATATATTAATAATACCTCGTCATGTCTGAGGGCAATGTGTGGTGTGAATATAATGCAGAGAATTCGTAGTTTGGAAATTAGGAGAAGGTGTGGGATTACCAAAACTATTATCCAGAGGGCTGAGGAGAGGTTGAGGTGGTTCGGACATGTAGAGAGAAAGGAACAAAACAGAATGACTTCGAGAGCATATAAATCTGTAGTGGAGGGAAGGCGGAGTAGGGGTCAGCCTAGGAAGGGTTGGAGGGAGGGGGTAAAGGAGGTTTTGTGTGCGAGGGGCTTGGACTTCCAGCAAGCATGCGTGAGCATATTTGATAGGAGTGAATGGAGACAAATGGTTTTTAATACTTGACATGCTGTTGGAATGTGAGCAAAGTATCATTTATGAAGGGATTCAGGGAAACCACCAGGCCAGACTTGAGTCCTGGAGATGGGAAGTACAGTGCCTGCACTCTGAAGGAGGGGTGTTAATGTTGCAGTTTTATAACTGTAGTGTATTATTATTATTATTATTATTATAATCAAAAAGAAGCGCTAAGCCAAACTGTAGTGTAAAGCACCCGTCTGGCAAGACAGTGATGGAGTGAATGATGATGAAAGTTTTTCTTTTTCGGGCCACCCTGCTTTGGTGGGAATCGGCCGATGTGTTAAAAAAAATTAATAATAATAATAATAATGTTGTGCAATTTCAAGTATATTTTTATTTTTTTATTATCACACTGGCCGATTCCCACCAAGGCAGGGTGGCCCGAAAAAGAAAAACTTTCACCATCATTCACTCCATCACTGTCTTGCCAGAAGGGCACTTTACACTATAGTTTTTAAACTGCAACATTAACACCCCTCCTTCAGAGTGCAGGCACTGTACTTCCCATCTCCAGGACTCAAGTCCGGCCTGCCAGTTTCCCTGAACCCTTCATAAATGTTACTTTGCTCACACTCCAACAGCATGTCAAGTATTAAAAACCATTTGTCTCCATTCACTCCTATCAAACACGCTCACGCATGCCTGCTGGAAGTCCAAGCCCCTCGCACACAAAACCTCCTTTACCCCCTCCCTCCAACCTTTCCTAGGCCGACCCCTACCCCGCCTTCCTTCCACTACAGACTGATACACTCTTGAAGTCACTCTGTTTCGCTCCATTCTCTCTACATGTCCGAACCACCTCAACAACCCTTCCTCAGCCCTCTGGACAACAGTTTTGGTAATCCCGCACCTCCTCCTAACTTCCAAACTACGAATTCTCTGCATTATATTCACACCACACATTGCCCTCAGACATGACATCTCCACTGCCTCCAGCCTTCTCCTCGCTGCAACATTCATCACGCATGCTTCACACCCATATAAGAGCGTTGGTAAAACTATACTCTCATACATTCCCCTCTTTGCCTCCAAGGACAAAGTTCTTTGTCTCCACAGACTCCTAAGTGTACCACTCACCCTTTTCCCTTCATCAATTCTATGATTCACCTCATCTTTCATAGACCCATCCGCTGACACGTCCACTCCAATATCTGAATACATTCACCTCCTCCATACTCTCTCCCTCCAATCTGATATCCAATCTTTCATCACCTAATCTTTTTGTTATCCTCATAACCTTACTCTTTCCTGTATTCACTTTTAATTTTCTTCTTTTGCACACCCTACCAAATTCATCCACCAACCTCTGCATTATTATTATTATTATAATCAAGGGGAAGCGCTAAACCCGGAGGATTATACAGCGTCTAGGGGGGGGATGTGGAAGGCATTCAGGCTTAATTCGGGGAACTGGAGCACAGATCCAATTCCCTAAATCAAGAGCCCCTCACCAACATACCAACCTCTGCAACTTCTCTTCAGAATCTCCCAAGAGCACAGTGTCATCAGCAAAGAGCAACTGTGACAACTCCCACTTTATGTGTGATTCTTTATCTTTTAACTCTACGCCTCTTGCCAAGACCCTCGCATTTACTTCTCTTACAACCCCATCTATAAATATATTAAACAACCATGGTGACATCACACATCCTTGTCTAAGGCCTACTTTTACTGGGAAATAATTTCCCTTTCCTACATACTCTAACTTGAGCCTCACTATCCTCATAAAAACTCTTCACTGCTTTCAGTAACCTACCTCCTACACCATACACCTGCAACATCTGCCACATTGCCCCCCTATCCACCCTGTCATACGCCTTTTCCAAATCCATAAATGCCACAAAGACCTCTTTAGCCTTATCTAAATAGGGCTAAAGAGGTCTTTGTGGCATTTATGGATTCGGAAAAGGCGTATGACAGGGTGGATAGGGGGGCAATGTGGCAGATGTTGCAGGTGTATGGTGTAGGAGGTAGGTTACTGACAGCAGTGAAGAGTTATGAGGATAGTGAGGCTCAAGTTAGAGTATGTAGAAAAGAGGAAAATTATTTCCCAGTAAAAGTAGGCCTTAGACAAGGATGTGTGATGTCACCATGGTTGTTTAATATATTTATAGATGGGGTTATATATTTTCTCGCCGAAATCCACCGAGAAGCAACACTCAATTACCCACAATAATAATAATAATGTAATATCTTTATTTCTACAAGTACATGTACAAGGTATACAGGCCTAACTGACATCAATGACATACTACTGTATAGAAAGCCGCTTGTTATGCTGACCACTTCAGGCAAATTAGGTCAGTTTTATCCTAGGATGCGACCCACACCAGTCAACTAACACCCAGGTACCCATTTTACTGATGGGTGAACAGGGACAGCAGGTGTCTTATGGAAACACGTCCTTAATGTTTTCCAGCTGTACCAGAGTTTCAAACTCTGGACCTCAGTGTGTGAGCTGAGTGTGCCAGCTATTCAAGCTATGGGACACCTTAATTAATGATATTTGATAAATTTATTATAATCATGGGGGAGCACTAAATCCGTAGATTATACAGCGCCTGTGGGGGGACGGGATGGAAGGTATTGAGACTTAATTCAGGGAACTGGAGCACAGATCCAATTCCCTAGATCAAGAGCCCCTCACCAGCGTCAAGGAACCTCCCTTGAGGGGTTTGATAAATTAGTTTCAGCATTATCAAGCGCTACGAGACAGCATCAACATTTTCTTAGGTGAGAGAGAGAGAGAGAGAGAGACAATGCATCACTCTTCTATGAGCAGTAACAAGGAGGCAGTAAGATGATGAACCTTGAACACAGCGGAACACAGCAGTCAGTCACTCACAGACCCACCATAACGTGACCCCGAGGCCGCTATGCTGCACATGGACCACCACATCTACCAATCACAACACACCTTCCTCTTAACCACCAGTCACAGTCTACCATCTTCCGCCAACCACCAATCACAGCACACCTCACCATAAACCACCAAACAGTCACCTAATCATCAGCCAATGAGAGCTCTAGGATGTATGATCAACATTAAAATACCCTGACTATAAATGTTTACTCCAGGCACAGTGATCCAGAGTATAAATCTATCTATTTATCTATATCTATCTATCTATCTATATATATAATGACTCAAAGAAAAAAACCTTGTAAGTTTATTAAGGCTTATTATTTTTATATTTTTAATAATTGTCTTACGTAGTAATATACTGGATGTATAACTAAATCACCCAGGATACCCCAACACATGTAATGTAAAAGTAAGTAACCTATTTACATTAGAGTCATTTTTAAAATGTGCGTAATTAAATTATCGGTTTGATATGTATATTTTTTTGTAAAATTGGCATGTAAGTCAACAGGGACCCAGTGGAAATAAATCACATTGTATATCTACATGCTGTACTTTTAATGTTCCCAAAGTTATTTTGGAAAGGGTTTTCCTAGGTAATTTACACTATGTATGATAATTGTACTTGTGTATTCGTGCCTAAATAAACTTACTAACGTCACTGGTACAAAGAAATGTGCTCTTCTAATGCAGTGTGGATTACTGTTGTTAAAATAACCAGACTGAAGTGCTAGACCTATGTGGGATAAGTAAAGTATTTAGGTACAGTTACGCATAACTACAATTAAACAAGCTTTGAGTGATTACAATTGTCTTACATAGTAACATGTGCAAATTACTTAAGAAAATCCCAAATAAGCTAAAGTGACATTTCTGTTGGGGAATGGAGGAAGTCAGGTTGAATCCAAGGAAGGGGAGGATAGGTTCACTTACTTAGATCAAAAAACCCTCACCGGTATCAAGGAATATACCTTGAAAGGTTAACTATGAAAGCAAAAGACTGGGCAGGCAGTGCAACATCTCCCAGTGAAAAGCAGGGGAGCCGTGATTACGATAAGAGACAACATAATAAGTGTCAGGGGCCCAAGACTGTTCAACTGCCTCCCAGCATACATAAGGGGAAATACCCCTGGCTGTCTTCAAAAGGGAGCTCGACAGACACCTAAGTCAGTACCTGACCAGCCGGGCTGTGGTTCATGCGTCGGTTTACGTGCTGCCAGCAGTAACATCCTGGTTGATCAGGTCCTGATCCACCTTGAGGCCTGGTCATGGATCAGGCAGCGGGGGTGTTGACCCCCAAAACTCCTTCCAGGAATACTCCAGGTAACTGTATCAACTTTTCTTACAATATAGTGTTGCTACATTCATGGTTGCCTCGCTGGGTTGGTAACATTGAGTTTTCCCCAGTGGGCGTTAACTATGAAAGATAATATTGTTCTCTTGTGAAATACATCGCTATTAGTATGGAAAGTTTATATGTTCATGTAAAAAATTAATGTCCCACATAACTAAACTTCCATGTATACATCTGTAACTGACGTTATAATTCAGAATTTAATGGCGAATCAAATTTAAGCACAGTTTTGTTCTCCGAGCATCATACACCTTCATGGAGGTATCTTAAATTACTTATTATTGCGTTCAGGGAAGGGGAAGAAAACACGTTTGGATCATACAGTACCATGAGGATTGGGAAGCAGTCAGGTTTAACTCAAGGGAGGCGAGATCAGGTTGAAATCCTTGGATCAAAAGCCCCCTCAACGTGCGTTGAGGAACCTGCCTTCAAGGTACTTAATGAAGTCCCTTAGCCTTGAAGTTGAAGGGCAATTAAAACTGAAATTATATTATTTCTCATGAACCATACAAAAATTACAGTAGTTATAAATAATTTAATTCAGAAGTAGACAAGATAAAGCCACTAATTATGCAATGCATTTCGAGCAAACTAATCATAAGGCTTACATAATACTTAAATCTAGGCCCAGTATATTATTTAAGACAACATGTGTAGTTCATTACAATCACAGGTGCTCTGTCTTCTATGGGTTTAGTACTCCTCACGAATATAATAATGCCCTCATTATATACTAATTTGTCCTCATTTGTCATTACCCTTAGCAAAATCGTTGTCATCTTGTTCTGTCGCCATTATTTCTAAATTATACTATTATATAATTCATTAAGGTTTAGTTAACAGAGCACATACGCCAGCCCCTCAGACTAGTGTATATATTTGTAGCATAATAAGCATTATTGTAATGTTTGTGCTACATTAATATTTGAGTAGCCACATCACTGCTGCTGTATTTAAATCCATTATTCTTGCAGACCGAAATAAGTCACTGACTGTCGTAATAAATTTACACATACGTTGCTATATAAGACAAATGTAAAAAAAAAAAACTAACATTGTGTAAGGAAACTGAATGAGGTAACTGTATCATGATTAACTAACAGAATGTTGGGGTCCAGTTCATGGCCCAATTACATGCCTCTTGAGTCTTTACGCCCGCACAGTGGTTGTGTGAGGTACATTATATATATCGTGCCGAATAGGTTGCCTACAGAAATGTTCGTTTGCCTTATTCGGCAAGAAGAACCTTGCTATTTAAGCCAAAATAGCAAATTTCACCTATTCGGCACGACATATACTTTTAAAGTATTTACTGGATTCACCGGATAAATAATTACATTTCCCGGTATATTACCATATATTACTCAGGATGGGTATTCCCTAGTGATATTACATAGCTTATCTGTTAGTTATACATGATATTATCTCTGGTGGGCTATGGTGTTGATAGGTGGTAATTGATAACGTAATGAAACTGGTAATTGCTAATATAATTACTAAATCAGTGATAATATTGTAATTATTCAGCAAAGTGATAATTACTAATATAATAACTATACAAACGGTAGTCGTCAATGTAATAAATAATTTACGCGCTGGTAATTTCTAATCTGATTATTAATTATTGTTAATTGCTATAATAACTTTAAATTTTCCTTTAAATACGTTACGTAGTTATAAATGGAAATGTTGAAAAGTTCTCGATTATATTTACTTACATGCTTCAAAAAATCACTTGTCTGACAGTACTAATTGTTTCTGATGAGATTCCCATAGAGTTAGAATGCCATGAAGCTGGTGACGGGCTCTTGGTTCAGGGAATTGGAGCTGGGCAAACCTGGTTCCCCCCCTCCCCCAGGCGTTGTATGACCTTTGCGGGTATATAGAAATAAACTATCCTAAAAATAAAGACGTTAACTTAGAGAAATAAATGAACAATTGCGGAGATTAAAATCCATTAAGTCACCAGGAACACTATCACGTTATCATCCCAGATACATATACCTCAGTGTATATACGCACCTCTCGGTGTATATACACATCTCGGTGTGTATATACACCTCTCGGTGTATATACGCACATCTCTGTGTATATACGCACCTCAGTGTATATACGCACCTCTCGGTGTATATACGCACCTCAGTGTATATACGCACTCCTCGGTGTATATACGCACCTCAGTGTATATACGCACCTCTCGGTGTATATACGCACCCCTCGGTGTATATACGCACCTCAGTGTATATACGCACCCCTCGGTGTATATACGCACCTCAGTGTATATACGCACCTCTCGGTGTATATACGCACCTCTCGGTGTATATACGCACCTCTCGGTGTATATACGCACCCCTCGGTGTATATACGCACCTCAGTGTATATACGCACCCCTCGGTGTATATACGCACCTGTTTGCAATGGCTGTCTGCCTAGGAGAGACAGGCACCTAGCAACATCTGTTGTTGGGGCAATGGATGAATTCCCTGCTATGTTTGTTAACTGCTCATTACTCTGTAATTTGTCTATGATTGTAATCATGTGATAATGTGTTTATCATTCATTACTTTTGAAACTTGTCATGATTTTGACCAGCTCTACCTGGAGCTCATTACCTTTGTAAATTCTCATGATTAATGTGTTTATGATTCATTACCCTTGCAATTATTCATGAGTGTGACCAGCTCTACCTGGAGCTCATTACCTTTGTAACTTGGTCATGATTATGACCAGCTCTAGTTCATTACCTTTGTAACTTGCTCAGCTATCAAAACTTTGGAGTCCAGTCCCTGGACCGATTATGTACCTCTGTAATCTTTTGACTACCGCCCACAGGATGGGTATGGGGTGCATAATAAACATATTAAACTAAAAAAAGTGTATATACGCACCTCTCGGTGTATATACGCACCTCTCGGTGTATATACGCACCTCTCGGTGTATATACACAGCTCTCGGTGTATACCTGGAGTTTACCTGGAGAGAGTTCCGGGGATCAGCGCCCCCGCGGCCCGGTCTGTGACCAGGCCTCCTGGTGGATCAGAGCCTGATCAACCAGGCTGTTACTGCTGGCTGCACGCAAACCAACGTACGAGCCACAGCCCAGCTGGTCAGGTACCGACTTTAGGTGCTTGTCCAGTGCCAGCTTGAAGACTGCCAGGGGTCTGTTGGTAATCCCCCTTATGTATGCTGGGAGGCAGTTGAACAGTCTCGGGCCCCTGACACTTATTGTATGGTCTCTTAACGTGCTAGTGACACCCCTGCTTTTCATTGGGGGGATGTTGCATCGTCTGCCAAGTCTTTTGCTTTCGTTGTTTACCTGGAGTTTACCTGGAGAGAGTTCCGGGAGTCAACGCCCCCGCGGCCCGGTCTGTGACCAGGCCTCCTGGTGGATCAGAGCCTGATCAACCAGGCTGTTGCTGCTGGCTGCACGCAAACCAACGTACGAGCCACAGCCCGGCTGGTCAGGAACCGACTTTAGGTGCTTGTCCAGTGCCAGCTTGAAGACTGCCAGGGGTCTGTTGGTAATCCCCCTTATGTATGCTGGGAGGCAGTTGAACAGTCTTGGGCCCCTGACACTTATTGTATGGTCTCTTAACGTGCTAGTGACACCCCTGCTTTTCATTGGGGGGATGTTGCATCAT